GGGCGGGGGCGGGAGGGGGCGCGGCGGAGGCGTGAGCGCGCTCAGAGACTCCGCCCGGGCCGCCTTCCCCCGGTCCGCGCTGCAGCCTGCGGCCCCGCGGGGTCCTAGACACAGCTGCCAGCGGCTTACCCCACGCGGCCAGCCAGCCGGCGGGGTTTCCGCCTTACTTCCCTGTGCTTAGAATTTGCAGCCGCATCCCCTGACGCTCGCAGCCAATTTCACGGCCTCTGGGCTCCGCGCGGTGCGCGGGATCGTAAACCCGCCGGCGCAGGGCGCGGGCTGGCGGCGGGTCCCTGGAGGCACCCGGGGAATGGAGGGGGTGGAGGGGGCGTTGGGGTGAGGGCCTGCTGAGTTGTTGGCAAGCGTGTGTGTGTGTGTGTGTGTGTGTGTGTGTGTGTGTGTGTGTGTGTGGACAGGATGTGGGGGCGCCACCTGGAATTGTCCTGTGGAGTGCAGAGGTGGTCATGCGTGTGCTGGGGTGGTGGTGTCTGGGAGTGGTTGTCCACTTGTGGGGACATGTTTGGGACATGTGTGTTTTAGCATGTGAGCCTGTGTAGGGGCGCCAGTGCCCACTGGCAGGTTTGTTTGGGTATGTATAGTGAAACCTGTGGTGTGTGTGTATGTGTGTGTGTGTGTGTGTGTGTGTTGGGCAGTTCACAGTGAATGGGGGCTAGTGTGTTTTTGTGGATGTGTTGATGTGTGGGTGTGTTGACATGTGTCTCTAGGCATGTTGGCACCTGTGTGTGTTTGCTTGTTGGGGCCGGCCCCCTTATGTCTGGGTTCTGTGGGCAGCTGTGTACAGTGCATGTGGGGCTGTGTGCACGTCTGTCTGAAGGAGTGTGAAATTCTGGTGTGTAGGTTGCTGTCCTGTCTTGTGGGTGCAGGTGTGTGTGTGTGAGGGGATAGTGTGCAACCTGGGGTGCTGTCCTGTCCTGTCCCTGCTGGTGTCTGGGCTCCCTCCCCAGGCCTGGGAGCCCTTTCCAGGAGCAAGCCTGCTGTTTCCTTGTTCGCTGCCTCTAGGTGGGGGTAATGGAGTTGAGGCAGTGCAGGGGGCCAAGTGTGTGTTTCTGTTTTGTAGCTGCCACTGGCTGCCAACTCTGGTGGGTCTACATATGTTTGTGAATGACAATGTCTAGGGGGCTGAGGTGTGGAGCCCCTGCCTGCTGGGGAGGGCAGGGAGTACCATCTGGGCTGCTGGGGGGTGCAGGGCCAGACAGGGAGAGGGGCCTCCATGGGAAGGTAATGAGTGTCTGTGTGTGCACAGCTGGAGGGGAGGTTTGGCCAGGCACGTCTGTCTGGGAGTATGTGTGTCTGTGCAGATGGAGGTCGGGCAGGTACGTCGCTCTTAGGGTGTGTGAGCACATATGATGGGACGTGGGGCACAGGCTGTGGGCACACTGGGGGAGGGGCGTGTGGGTCCTTGCAGAGTTCTGAGTAAGAGAAATGTGTTGGGGTGGGGTGCTTGTTCCCTGCAGCAGAGGGAATGGGGCCCAGCTGTAGAGGAGAGTGGGTTGTGTTGGCGTTGGGGTGACCAACGGAAGGGTGGTGTGATTGGGCATGAAAAGGGGGAGGTCTGTGTGTGGGCACTGGACGTCAGGTCAGTGTGAGGGTGTGCGTGGCCATCCCCACCTGGGTGTGACATGTGTGTTCATGACTGTGACTAAGGTATGGGGCTGGGACTATGACTTGGGAGGAACCTCCAGGCTATGGGGCCCAGCAGGGAGTGAAGGACATGGGGTGGGGCTGGTGGGGCAGGAGTGAGGGTCCTCCAACTCTTAGAAAATCTACTCATCTGTTGCTTCCTCCTCCTGCCCGGGGGCCATGGAAAGATGAAAAGTCCTGTGGCCCCTGGGCCCTCCCCTCCCCCTGAATCCTATGGGTTAAGGTGGGGAGCCCCTAGCCCTCCATCTGGGTCTTGAGGCCCTGTCCCTTCATCTCCCTGCCCCCATCTCCCCCGTTTCCCTGCCTCTATCTCTCTCCATCTCTGCCTCCATCTCCCTCCATTCCCTCCCTCTATCTTCTGTCTCTCTCTCACACTGATATTCATTTGTGGTATATTCAGTTGCCATGGGAAACCTAAGAAAGAAGTGAGTGTACCCTTCAAGACTTCAGCATTTCCCCCTCCCTCCCTCCCTCCCTCCCTCCCTCCTCTCCCTCCCTCCCTCCTCTTTCTCCCCTTCGCCTCCTCACAGAAGGAGAGGACTTGGATGAGGAGCTGCTGCTGCCTGAGCTGGGCCGGGACCTGAGACCCCATTGCTACTGCTGCCACCACCACCGCTGCTGCTGTGGGGACCTCCCTGGGACCAGGCCAGGGACAGAGCCTTGCTGGCTGGAGGGGCCTCTTTGCCTGCAGACGTCTGGTAAGGGCAGGGTCCTTCTGACTGTGTGTGAGTGTGTGGCTGTATGTGAGCCCGGCTCACATGACCTGGCCTTGGGAACCCCGTGATGCGGCCCGGCCTCTGCCTCCTGTTTGTCCCTTCCTGCCTTGCCCAGCCGCGCCCCAGCTGCGGGCACCCCCACCCTGCCCCTCCCCAGCTTCCCTTCCACAGGGCCTGTGAGGCAGCTGGCAGAGTGGCAGGCCTTTTGGAAGCTGGGACTGGTCACTGAGGAGAGCGGGGAGGAAGCCGCGGCCGGCTCGGAGACCCCACTTCTACCCCTTTGCCTAGCTGAGAGGCTAAGCCAGGCCTGCCTGCACCCCAGCAGGGCTGAGGGCATCTGTGCACCTGCTAGGGGTTGGGGGACTGGCTTCCAGGGGCTGGCCTGGGAGAACATGGCCCCTTCTCCCTCAGGTGGGGGCCTTTCTATTGCAGAGAGGGGCGGATGGAGGGGCTGGGAGTGGGTTAGGAGCAGGCGAAACGCAGGGCAGCATCTATACCTGGCCTGATCCAGTGTCTCAAATTTTGGAGGCGGCAGGGAGGCCTGCAGGAGCTGCTCTGTCCTGGCTGGGGCTGGCGGCTGCCCTGGGGAGGAGAGGCCGAGGCTGTCGCTGTCACTGAGGCTGTTGCTGTCACTGAGGCTGTGTTGGTGGTGGCCACGTGGAGGGAACTGTTGTCCCGGGCAGGCGCTGAGTGATGTGGTTGCCGTGGAGAGGGATCCGCCTATGTGGCATCTCGGTCTCTATGGAGAGAGGAGGAGACGAGGGAGGAGGCTTGCTGTCTGGGCCCAGTGTTGGTGGTTGCTAAGGAGAGGGAGATGGGGCTCTAAGATGTGATGGTCCCCAGGTGGAGGGGCTGTGGCTGCTGAGGTCCCCTGGAAGGGCTGGTGACGGGTGCTCTGGAGGGCGCTGGTACAGGAACAGAGTGGGGGTGGTGGGTGCTCCGAGGGGAAGGTGGGGGTGTGATGGATGGGGGAGGGGCTGCTACTGTGGACTTAATGTTGCCCACAGGCTGAAGTGGGGTCCTCTGGAGGGAAGTGAGGCACAGTGGGTCGTCTGAGCTGTGCTCCCCACTTCCATTGCTCATCCTGCCATCCTCATGTCTGGACCGGAGACCCTGCTGCACCCTCAGTGTCCCTTCTCCCAAGGCCCTCTTCTTGTCTGTCCTTCCCTCCCACTTCTGTGGCCAACCTCTCCTACCGCTGCCTCGAGCCCGCTCCCTCCTCTGGGCCTTTGAACGTCCAAGTCCCCCATCGGGATGCATGTTCCCTCCTTGCCCCGAAATGACTTTGTCCCCATCTTTCATATTTGCTGTACTCTGAGAAGCCTGGCGTTGATAACTGCCTTTGAGGTATCAGATAGGGGAAGTGACTTGCCCAAGGTCACACAGCGGGCATGTGCTGGGGCTGGAATTTAACACCTGCCTCCCCAAAAGTCCAACTCATCAGGCCTGATTCTCCCCCAGGAGCCTCTGCTACCACCTCATTCAGAGTTGTCTGGCTCTGGCACTTACAGATAGATGATCCTGTGCCTCAGTTTCCCAATCTATGAAACACAGCTGATGCATGTGCCTCTTGAGGTTGCTGTCACTTGGGATCATGTATGTGATGCCCCCAATGTGGTTCCTGGCACTTAATAGACTCTCAGTAAGTGGTAACCACCACCACTATCATAATTCCTTTCCAAACTGATTTTAAAATGATTTTCTGACATGCCTGGGGAGGACAGTGGTATCTTCTCTCCAGGGATCTGCATTATTGCTCCCTTTTCCCCCATGACCCTTGAGTGATGGAGGTATTGAGCTGACTGCGTGGTAGCAGGAAGTGGGGCCCAGAGAGGAGGGCCTCCCAGTGGTCACGTAGCACCTTGGTTGCTGAGCTAGGATGGAACTAGGTATGACTGGATCCTGTCGCGTGTGTTCCCCGCTTGCTCCAGGGTCCTGTGTGTGCACTTTAACAGGTGGACCTTGTCCCCCCCCAGCCGTTGCCTGAGCCCCATTGCCTTTTGGCTTCCTTCACAGCACACAGCGTGTCAGGCAAGTGGCTCATGGTGTCTTGTGAGTAACAGATTAGGGGATGCCTGTCCTGTCAACCTCCTTGATACCACCAGGGGACAGGCCAGGCAAGGGACTGAAAAGGATGTCCAAACAGGGACATTTGAGGGGCTTGGGGAGTGGTGGACAGGATGACTGTCTTTTGAGTGACAAAGATCTGCGTTCAGACCCTTAACTGCCATTTTCCAGGTGGGTGGCCCTGGACACATTTCTTTGCCTTTCTGGGCCTCAGTTTGTTCATTGGTACAATGGGGATGATACGAATTCCTACTTTACTTCCCTCATGTGAAGCAGGGGGATGAAGTTGGAGCACAGGGCCTGGTGCCTGGGACGTGCTTCCTGGAGTGGTGGCTGTTCTTTCTAACCTGTCAGCCTTGTTTGCGTTTCATACTGAGCTGGGGAAGAGAGGCCAGGGCCGTCCTGGGCGACCTCAAAAGGGTAGAAGTGGGACCAACCAGGCACGGACCTCAGTTCATCCCGAGAAGAGACTTTCTAACAGTCAGAGCTGTCTTGGGATGGAATGGGGGAGAAGTAGTGAGTGCTCTGTGTGCAGTGGGACCACAGAAGGCTGCAGGAGCATAGGGTTTGGGATTATAAGACTTAGGTTCACATCTTGATGTTGCCATTTATAGGCTGTGGGATCTTGGGACCCTCAGTTTCCCCACCTGCAAAATGGGAGGAATAACAGTGGAGTGACGGTTACTTTAAGTGAATTCAGGTATGTGGAAGAGACCTAGGAGTCCCTTGAATCTGTACAGTATCCCATTTCCAGAAGAAGAAAGCGAGGCGCAAGGAGCTTAAGGGGTTTATAGCAGGAATACCAACAGCTGCTCTTTACTGAGCATCTGCTATGTGCTGGGCATTTTCCCACATGCTCCAGGTCTCGTTTAATTTCCCAGCCTGTTCCTTCTGCACTTGCTGTTCCTTCTGCAGGAGTTGTTGTTCCTTCTTTTGCTCATTGTTGCTTCCTGGGATTGTTACACGGCTGTCTCCTGTTCCAGCTCATTGTCACCTCCTCAGGGAGGCCCTCCCTGACAACTCTGTTTCTTGCTGTTGGCCTTCTTCCTCTTTGTCTCCTTATAGTTCCTAACACAACCGGATTCCATTTTGTTTATTTGCTTGTTACCCACCCTCCCACCATTGTAGAATATCAGTTTCATGAGGGCAGGAGCTTTTTCTGTCTTGTTCCCTGCTCTATCTCAAGTGCTTTGAATGGGGCCTGGCACATAGTAGCTGTTCAATAAATATGCGGTGCATGCATGGGTGGGTAACCCTGTCAGCACCCTGGGAGGCCAGTCTTGTCATTCCCATTCTATACATGAGGAATGTGGGGCTGGGGAGGCGTGGTAAATGGCCTCTGGACACACAGCTGGAACTAGGAGGCAGACCTAGCATTTCACCCCACATTGGGCTGACTCCAGGTTAAGTGCTTTTTCTGCTGCACTACACCGCCCTGCTGCGGAGCCTGGCATTTCAGGCTAGAGAGTTTGGACTTCACTCTGAACACAGAGGCAAAACCACAGAAAGGCCCTTAAGTAGGGACGGTTCCTGCCATAGGGAAGAGCTTTTGGAAGCAGCCTGAATTGACAGAAGAAACCAATCCTGCTGCTCACTAGCTGTGTGACCTTAGGTAAATTACTTAACCACTCTGTGCCTCAATTTACTTGTCCGTAAAATGGAGATAATGTCTTCTTGGCTGGCTTAATAATCTCAACTGGCTTCTGGGAGGCAGCGGGTGTTGAGCTTTGATTTGCAGGCTTGCCTCCAAGGCCCCCACTCCAGGGTGGAAAAACAGCCTCACTGCCCACCCCTGAGGAGTTTGAGATTTTGACTTCTGAATAGGGGACATTTTAAGTGCTTGGGACAGACCATTTTCTGCCCTGCCAGCCTGAGTTGTCTTGCCACCCCCTACCTCCTCCCCCAAAAAGAGAAAATCAAAGTAGAGGAGCGAGAAGGAAACTGGTTTTAACTGGGTATGATTATGTGCAAGGGACGTTCCTGTCCGGATCCAGCAGCTCATGCAGAATAGGAGTTGTTACACCCATTTCACAAATGACCACACTCAGCTTTGGGGGCATTCTCTATAAAGCACAAAGCAGGAACTTGGACGTAGGCTCAGAGGCTCCTGCCTGCACTGTTTCCGGAGAGGGGAGGGGATGGACAGTGGAGGCACCTGCAATGGTGTGTTCTAGGGTTACCCAGCGAGTGGGCTGTTAGTCCCAGCCCCACCAGGATAGAGCTTAGAGTGGCCCCAATTTCAGAGCCTGGATCTAGAGGGGCTGTGGAATGGACAGAAGGCTCCCCTCAGCCTGGCTGCCCTCCCTGTCACTGCTGGCAGCCACACTAGCCCAGGGAATAGATCTGGCGTTGTATGCGGTTGTCCCAGTGTCTCACTCAATACTCCATTTGTTTGGGGAGGAGAAAGGGGGGTCTGTGGTGCCCAACAGAGGTGGGATTCATGGACAGGCTCCTGGGGGTGGGGTAGCCTGCCTGGTACAGAGCAGGCCTGGAAGAGCGCCAGGAGAGAGTGAGAGGAAGGGGCTGAGGCATGGCCCTGGGGTCCTGCTTGTGCCCTTGGGGCAAGGTCTTGTACTCTGGTGGTGGTGGTGGTGGGGGGCTATGCAGGTAAGGGGCAAGAGGAAGGATGTAGGAGTCCTGCCATCATGACTTTCTAGTCTGAAGGAAGGAGAGCATGGTGATCCTGTCTCCCCGGGAGCCCCTAGCTTTAAGGGGGTGGGGGAAACTGTGCCATCAGGATCCTTGTCTGAGGGGACACAGCCCTGACTTCAGGGAGTTTTTGTCTGAGGGGGGAAAGAGCCTCAACTCCCAGGAGCCCTAGTCTGAGGGTGGAAGCACTGTGGGTGTTCTGGGCTCAGTCTGCTCTCCGAATGTAGGAGGAGAGGATGGTCTCACTGAGTGGCGGCTCCCTGAGTTCTGGGAAGACTTCCTGGAAGAGGCAGTCCCTGGGTAGGGGTTGAATTTGGGGCAGGACCTTCGAGAGGGATTGTGGCTGGAAGCAAGGCACGGTAGTTGGATCCTGATTTGGAGCGGTCACATACATCTGAGTCTCAGTTTGCGCATCTGTAAAATGGGGACATTGCCTGGGCACTGCTGGGCTCCTAGAGGGAGGGTTGGAGACAGGAGTGCCTGCACACAGTTGGCCCGCAGGGCTGCCAGGGTCTGCATGGTTGGAAAGGCCTGAGGAGTTCTAGAAGCTTCCAAAAACCCTTCCCCACATCCCCTCCTGCACATTGGGTCACAGCTCAACCAGTGCAGCTGCAATCTTTGTAGACGCAGGAGGGAGGGTGGGATCTGTGCTGAGCCCTGAGGTGGAGGCCAGGGCCATAGGGTTCCTTCCTCCCCCAGCTTGCTGTGTGACCCTAGCTAGTCCCACACCCTCTCAGCCTCAGGCTGAGACCCAGTCCCCGTCCTAGAGGGTGTAGTCTGACCCACCATGCCTGGCTTCCAACCACAGAACAGGCCCTCTTGTAGCCCCTGCCCTGAATCCAACGCCTTCCAAGGGACTGCCTCTTCCAGGAAGTCTTCCCAGAACTCAGGGAGCCTCTACTCAGTGGGACCGTCCTCTCCTCCTACGTTCAGAGAGCAGACTGAGCCCAGAACACCCAGAGCTAGACCTCAAGGACAGAGGTTGGGGCTCACCAAGGACCCTAAGCATCCTGGGAGGAGATGGACCACAGAGAGGGGTCAGCGGAGGAGAGCAGGTGACCCAGATGATGGTGGCTTGGGGGCCCTCCAGCTAAGCAGAGCCTCTGGGATCGAGGCCTTTCCTGTGTCTGCCAGACACTCTGGGGTGCTGGCTTGGGGACATTGGGTCAGAGACGAGAAACTCCTGGGGCTGTAAGATGGGTGACACAGTGGTCAAGCACATGGGCCCAGGCCTGGGCTCAATTCCCGATTCTACCCATAACAAGTTGTTTTGCCTCTGTGTGCCTCAGTGTCCTCGTCTGTAAAATGGGAATAAAAATAGTACCCACCTCCTAGGGTTAACAGTGTAAAGCACTTAGCACTGTGCCAAACATACAGTGAGTGCTCAGTAAATGCTAACTCTGTTGTTGTTGCGTTTCCTGGTGGTGGGAGAGGCAGGCACGGCTTCAGTGGCCATTCCAGCCACCACCTCTTGGGCTGTTGGGGACAGGCTGTGGCCTACGGAGTCCTGAGGCCTGGGATGCTGGGTCAGGAG